GAAAACAGTGTGACAATTCCTAAAAGTTCTAAAAGTTGACCTTCCATATGACCCCGCAATCCCCTTACTGGGAATATAACCAGAAGAACTCAAATCACTCTACAAAAAAGATACTTGCATTGTATGTTTATTGCAGCATTGTTCACAACAGCAAGAACATGGAACCAACTGTGCTGCCCATCAAAAGAGAACTGGATAAAAAATGTGGTACATATACACAATGGAATATTATGCAGCCATAAAGAAGAACAAAATCATGAACTTTGCAGCAACCTGGATGAACTTAGAGTCTATAATACTGAGTGATCTTTCACAGAAACAAAGAACTGAGTATCATATGTTCTCATTCATAAGCGGTCCTTGAACAACTATTATAATACCATAAGAAAAGGAATGACAGTAGCAGGAAACTGCGGGGGTATGGGGAGGGTGGAGAGGTGGGATTGGCTGTAGTGGGAAACTGCTTGGGGAAGGGGGTACCTGCACAATGAATATTTGTATACCTAACCCTGAATTGTACTCCACAATTTTAAAATAAAAAATGTTTAAAAAAAGAAAAGTAATTTTTATTAATTTGAAAAATTCATTATAAAAAGTATTTTAAAATTTAACTTCAAAAGACTAACCCCTGCCTCCAAAATTAGCAACAGGCAAAACCCATGAGCAGCAACCTCTGTAAGGATTAGTGCTGGGTACCTTTTATTCAGTACATCATGTCTAGCTGTCAATAAAAACTAAATATAAATAAATAAATAAATAAATAAATCATAGTTCTGAAGATCTTAAAACACACATCTGTCTGTCTGTCTCTCTGTCTCTTTTCTTTGGACCGAGTGTACACTTTTAGAGTATTCAAATTGTCATATTTATCTTGGTATCCTCACTTCTAGCAGAGTGGCACCAACATTCAATAAATTATTGGATGAAGGACTAAGTGAATGTGATAATGGTTAAGTGTGGTGTAGTGTTCATTGAGGTTATGCCAGTTTTCACAGCATATAAAATACTTGAGTTGGCCAAAGTCAGCTTAGGTATAATACACTTTGTCGGTAAAAGACTAATGTAATTTCATTTTGCTTATCCTCACTAATCATCAGATAAATGCAAATCAAAACTTCATTGAGATACCACCTAACTCCAGTAAGAATGACCATCATTAATAAAACAAAAAAACAAAAGATGCTGGCGAGGATGCAGAGAAAAGGGAACACTTCTACACTGCTGGTGGGAATGCAAACTAGTTCAACCTCTATGGAAAAGTGTGGCGATTATTAAGAGAACTAGAAATTGACCTTTCATATGACCCAGCAACCCCCCTTATGGGAATATACCTGGAGGAACTTAAATCATTCTACAAAAAAGATACCTGCACATGCATATTTATTGGAGTACTATTTACAATAGCAAAAACATGGACCCACTGTGCTGCCCATGGAAACTGGACTGTATAAAAAATGTGACACATATACATGATGGAATATTACACAGCCATAAGGAAGGACAAAATTATGGACTTTGTAGCAACTTAAATGGATTTACAGTCTATAATACTCAGTGATCTATTACAGAAACAAAGAACAGAGTACCACATGTTCTCACTCACAAGTGGACCCTGAACATTTACCATAATAATATAAGAAAGGGATTGGCAGTGGCCAGAAACTGCTGGGGCGGGGTGGGGGTGGGAGGACGTAACATTAACATTAATAAGGATAACTGCTCTCAAACCAGGTAAAGTGAGGTCCAAAGGGAGGCCCAAACTTCACCTGCATGATGATCACTTGTATATCTAATCCTGAATTGTGCCTCAAATCTTTAAAAAAAGAGTAATTTTTAAAAAGTGTGGGGTCCTATTAAGCAAAAACCATGGTTTTCTGGTAGATTTAAATAGTACTTTCTCATCTGTGAAGTAAGGTAGCAGATTTTATTACCTCCATTAAAAAAAAACTGGAGGCATGGAAAGATTCAAAAGAATATAGCTAGATAGTAGAGGATAGTCTTGAAATTTCAGACAAGAGCTTGGGGCTCCTGTCATGCCCATAACCATGTTCTCCTTTCACTCCAATGCATTGCCTTCCTGTAAGACTAGCTTCTCTGTCTTCCAATCACAGACTTCACATCTTGATCTTTTTCCAGGAAAGCTACGATTTTGAAGCTAGGAAAAGAGGTTTATAGCAACCAACAATAACAATACTAAAACCAATTTTTATCTTACTGATATGTGCTCTTGGTTTAATGAGGAAAAAAGGGCAATTTATTAGAAACAAGGATCTGAAGATGTTGGTAAAAAAGATAAATATAAAAAATAAAAGATAAACAAAAATTAAAGATGCCTATCAACCCCATTACTACTTAATTAGTGATTTAATTCTCACTATATGGATTATTTCACTAAGGTGAAAATATGTATGATGATTTTGCTAGTTATACCTTAAATCTCTAGTCTTTGCCAGGATTGGCTCAGCTTCTGGGTTTCAGGGAGAAAAGCACATGGAGTGGGAAAACTAGAGGGAGTCCTCACTAATCCTAAAAAGTTAATTGTATGTGTGCAAACATTGTTTCAATGTGGATTGATGAAAATCTAGATTAAACTTGTTTATCTAAGAAAGAAGATTACCTTTTCATTGTTTGATTAATATTAAACTCCAAAGGAAGGTACAAAAGGAAGTAATCAAACATACTTGGGATATAGAATTGTTTTGCCCTAACATGGACTGGGTGGGGTGATGTATTTTTAAGGTTGTCACAGGTTTTAGGCCAAGTTAGGAGAGCTATAGGAACAAACCTGAGGTATGAAAAATAAATCATGAAAACTTGGATTTCACCAGCCTTAGTTCTTTTGTTACTCTTTCAGTTCAAAGTCTCCTTATTTTCATGTTTTCTAGGCAAATTTAGTTGAACATCGTAATAGTAGCTAGTAGTTCATCCATTCATCTATTCACTCATTCAACAATTATTTACCAAATCCCTACTATATGCAGTGATGTTCTAACCTATGTTAACATTATTAAAAAGCAGTCTCAAATTTATTTTGACAAAAGGGAAAAAGCAGGATGTAAATAAATCAAATAATAATTATTGGAAGTTTATATACGTAGTGTAAGATAAAAGGGTGGAAGGGATAGTTAGGAAATATTTGAATATATGTTCAGAAGCTAACTATGCCACTTATTTGCTATGTAATATTAATTTTCCTCATCTGTAAAATGGGAATAAGAGTACCTACTCCATAGAAAAGAATATTGCTAATATTGGAAATTTGTCTCTAAAGAGATTAGCGTGATTCTCAGCACACAGTAGGTACTCAAGAAATGGTAGCTGTTGTCATAATTGTCAATAACTCATATTTAATATAACAAAGCATCACTTCTATAAATCCTTTGATGAATATAGTAATCAAGAAGGTATTGTTCTATAGATAATGTAAATTACATTTTTAGAGTAAGGGCTTTAGTAGTTTCATGTTAAAAACAAAAATACGGAATGTAGAGCAGGCATGAGTGAGACAGGCAATTTAGCAATCACAGTAGCATTCCTACAATTGAATAAAGGGTCCATAGATGTAAAAGAGGTATACATGATAAGCCAAATCTTTCATATATAAAATATAGAGTTGAATTTAAAACATTTCCATTGTATTGGAATTTGCAAGGTAGTGGCCACTAATTGAGAATTTAAGTCTCCCTCAGCCCTGCCTTTAACCATAATAAGGGCTTGCTAAGATTAAATCTGTTTGATTTATTTTTGTTAAAGATCTCTTTCTAGCTTTTAAAAACATTTTTGAAACCTCATCTTAGATCATTTCAATAATCTCTCCTGTGTAATATATATAATACAATTGATAGGAGCAAATATTTGCATATCATTGACCTAGTCTATTTTCACCTTTAATTTTGCATTAACATTTATTATTTCATTTTTAAAGGGTTCAAGAACAATCAGATCAATTTGGTTTTGTGCCACTCACCAACGTTTAGAAGCAATTAAAAACACTTTAATTTGGCTTTTAAGACTGCAGAAGTTGAGAATGAAAATAATTTTATTCTGTTCTGTAGACAATGGATATATTCAGCAGGGGCTTTCTTTCTTTCTTTCTTTCTTTTTTTTTGAGTCAGGGTCTTACTCTGTCACCTAGACTGGAGGGCAGTGGCACAATCACAGCTTATCACAACCTCTAGCCTCTTTAATGGGACTGCAGGCATGTGCCACTATGCCTCGCTAATTTTTTTGATTTTTTTTGTAGAGATGAGGTCTCGCTATGTTACCCAGGCTGGTCTCGAACTCCTGGTGTCAAGCGATCCTCCCACCTCGGCCTCCCAAAGTGCTGGGGTTACAAATGTGAGCCACTGCGCCCGGCCCATTTGTTTTTAGTTTTAGGCTCCTATTTCCAAATTCTGATTTTAAAAGAATATGATGCTCTATACACTAAGATAAGGCGATCACAGATGGAAAACTTACACCCAGCTTGGGAAAGATTTTAGAGATAAGGCCTACCAATGCATTATTTTGGGCGAACATAGTACACTTTTTGTTTTTCAAAGTTTGAAATCAGCTTATACCTAAGTTCACAACGAGGGACATATGTTTTTCTCTGGCTTTCTGTTTGCTGCAATTTGTGCTGAGAGATTCGCGGGCCATTTTAAGGCTATTTTTATGCTGCCACCTTTTTAGGTGCGACTTCCACTTGTGCTATGGGTTCCGTCCCGGGGGAGAGGGAACGGGCAGAGGGGACTCCCAAAACGCACTCGGGGTGCTCCCGAGTCTGAGCAGATGATTTCCTCCTGCGGGTTAATCTAGTTCCCGTTAGCTCAAGCCTGGGTTTAGAAGAACGAATAAATGCAGAAAGTGAAGCTGGGAGGGGAATGCATGGCAAAAACGCTTAGAGGAAAAAAAAAAAAAAAGCTGTTTCGAGGAATACGCTGCGACTCGCGAAGGAGTGGCTTTGCTCAAGCTGCTGTGACGAGCAGCTTTTTCCCTGCTCCTCGAACTTGCCCGAGTTCCTAAGGAAGCGTTTGCTTTCCTGGTGCGTGGCCAGGGGTGGTGGCTGGGATTCGAAGTCGATGGCGAAGGGGAGGGGGTTCCGGGATGGAACTTGATGCCGAACCCAGGATCCCATTTAGGGGCCCACCAGGGCCTTGGGAGCGTGGACTGCGGCTGTTTTTTTTGGGGGGGGGGCGGGGGTGTGGCGGGTATGAAGTAAAACAGCCAAGGGCTTTCTCTGGCTTGGGATGTCTCGCGACCTGCCATTTCCCGCGCTCGCGCCCGTGCACACGGGCTCGGGTATCGCATGCCGCAGAGGTCAGAGGGCGTGCTCGTGGCAACCGCAGGGCACGCGGACCAGCCGCGAGGGGGGCGGGGCCGCTGTGGCAGTTGCGGGGCATGCGCGGCTCCGCGCGCGGCTTCTCAAACATGGCGGCTGCGGTGTGAAGCTCGGTGCCGGTTCGCGGGACCAGTGTGACAGAACTTTGTTGCTTTCACCAAGTTGATCTGAGGTGTGTGGTGCTTCCGGGCCCCGAAAGGAGCGGAGAGACGGAGCTGTGGCTCCCGGGTCCTGACCGTTGTCCAGGGGCGGGCGGGGAAAGTCCTTGGTGGCGTGTCCCGCGCGAGGAACGCCCCCTTACAGTCCCGCCGGGATCTTGCCTCAGCTCGGCCCCCAGGCGGCCTCACCCCCGAGGCTACGGCTCCCCTGCCCCACGTAGCGCCCTCCGCGGTCCGCCCTCGGTCGTTTTCGCGCCTCCCCTCGAGCTCCCTCGGGGCCTCTTCGTCTGCCCACGGGCCCGTCCCGCCCTCGGTGTTCGGGCGCCTGGGTTATCTTCCAACCGCCGCCTCACCGGACGCGCGGACGGCAGCCTCCCCACCGTGGGTAAGGGCAGTGCTGGGGTCCGGGGGCGTTGCGGGTGGGCGGTGGGGCAGAGGATCAGGAGTGACTTTGCGTGGTCTAGGTGGAGACGGGTCCGCGCCCTTTCTGGGGACTTGTGAGGTAACTTTTGGAGTTTGGGAGGGAAACGTCAGCCGGGAAGGGATGCGCCGATGGCGGCGTGCAGGCGCGGGTCCCCGTGCCAGGTGTGCGCCGCGGGGATCGTGGCGGGGGCTGAGGGCGCCGGTGTCTCTTCGTTAGGGTGAAGCGGGACAGGAGGGAGCGGCCGGTCTGGGGCGATTCGGGGCGCGTGGCGGGGTTCCAAGTTTCCAGAGGGGCCGCGAGGCGGCCGCGTTCGCTGTGTTCTAGCGGCCTGACAGAGTCTAGGGATCAATGCTGCTTTCATCCAGAAACTGCGCGAGATCGTTCCTTACCTTTCTCGATTTTTCCTCCTGGATGGTGCTTATGCTCCATCCAAGTGTGAGAAGCCAGAGGGAGAAGAGTATAGGTGAATTTGGTCGATTGCGCCTTGAGGTTATTCATAGCTTTAAGGGCTGAACTGTTACTCGGCTTTCCCCCCTCAAGATGTTTGGGCAGCATAGGTATTTACTTATGGGTTCCCGTTTAAGACTATTGATTTTTTTGTAAAGGTTGTTAAACATTTGTCGTATATCACAAAATGCGATTACAATTTCAAATTTGCCTCTTATTTAAAGAATTCGAAGATTAGCATTTATGACTTACCTATAAGGTGACTTTAGAGCGTCTCTATAAAGTGAATCCGTTAGTTGGGGGAAACTGAGGCAGGGAAGATGACTTGCTTATGATCAAATGATTTATTAAACTATCAGATTGTTTCCTGAACGACTGCAGATGCTGCATTTTAATGCTCCAATAGCGATTCGTATTTCTGCTTTAACAGAAGAATATTATAAGATATACAACATTTATGGAGTACAACTTCTGTAACGGGCAGTTGTTTTATAATAATAGTTTATAGACACATTTAATTCTTTGCAATAACAGTGCCTGGAAATGTTTTTCAATAGTGACAATTTTGCCTTTTCCTTTTCTTAATTACACATTAAATAACTTATTTCCAATGATGAATGTGCTTCCAGACTGTGGTTTTGTGTATTTAATGGGAGAAACGTGAAAATAAGCTTTTGTATATGAGCCCAATTGGTATTTTGAGAATGAGTTTATGAGCACTCACCCAATGCTTTGTATTTGTTTTGCTATAACTTTATCCATAACTTTTAAAACAGTTTGATATAATTGTTTTTTAAACTTAGTCAAACACCATTTAAGATGGCTAGGAAATTTTTGAATAAATTTTATACTGGGGTTGCCAAAAAATGTTCATTTGATCAGAAGTGTCTGGATGTTGATGGTAACCACTTTGAGCACCTCTTGTAATTGCAGAAGTCAAACATGACTTGTATTCATCTTTTGCCGTCAGTATATACTGAGTATTACAGTTTTAATATAGTTTTTCCTTTCTTATAATGCGTATACATTTTTTGGCACTGTTTGTATATGTCGTGCAACCTTATGAGTTTGTTAAGGATGTATACTTGTTTATCCCAGAGAACCTGATTTGCTTTGGAATTGATAGTTTGGAAAAATGAGTAATGTAACTATACTGCATTATGTGTGAGGATACTTTAAAGTTGATAGTGTCATAATATGTACAAAAAGCATTGGGGTTAGTCGAAAGAGGTGGCATCAATTTTTCTCATGAAGCAGTTGGTCAGTCCTTTTGATTTATGGTTCCGCCAACACATCTTTATTAAGCACTTGTGCGGTCTTTAGTATGGAGTGCAACGCATATTTATTCAGAGCCTATGTATGCTAGTTTCTGGGTGTTTAAGGCTTTTACTATTAGTTTTTTCCTGAAAATTTCAAGGTTATAACTAAGAAAATCAGTATAAATGTACGAGTATTCCGTTTATTTAAAGGACAAACTCAGGAAGTCAGTCTTTTTGTCATAATTCTTTAAACAAAATTCTGGATGTGACTGTAAATGATTTCTGACTTATGTGATGTTAACTTTGTGACTTTTCTGTTATGATTATATGAAGCTATGCATTTTTAAGATATTATTTTCTGAGTTAAATAGATAACATACTGATTATGCTTGAGTGAAAAAATGAGTTGCTGGTATAAACTGAAATTAGTATGCGCTCTGGAGATTGAGTTTTTTTTTTTGTTTTTTTTTTTTTTAAGCTAAGCAACTTCACTTTTATGACCAAGTAGTTTAGGCTGTAATTAGATTTTAACTGATGGATATTTTAAAGCACTTTGTTTTTTCAATATATTTCAGAAATCTACGAGCTCAAAAATAACAAATAAGGGTTGTAATGGTCAGCTATAAACCAGATGTGACTCTCATTTTCTTTTGGGCTTGTTCCTTTTTAGCTGCCTGCCTGTTCCTCCCAGATGCTTCCTATCACCCCTCTTCCTGCCCCTGTTCCCTTTGCTGTTGGTGTCTGTTTCCGCATCAGTGAAATGGTCAGGGTAATCCTTAGCTGTCTCACTGACAAATAATTGATGATAGTATAGTGCCGTGAAAAGACTGAGTAAATACTGAGTCTTTTGAATGAAAATGATGTAGCCCCTTGTTCCATTTAATGTAGATCCAAATCCCAATTTTAATTTGAGCTCTTAGAGATGGGAGAGGAAAGTTTCACTTGAATATTTTTACTGCCTCTCTGAGTTAATAGAAATGACTGTTGTAACTTCAGTAACTGTAACACTGGTGGATGCAACTCTGCTATTTGAGTTATTAGTCACCTCTAGGTGTTTTATTTTTCTGTTTTTTTCCTGTCTGCCACCCCCCCTTTATGTCAGCTCTGTTGTCATTCCAGTTGTGAATGGAAATCTGAGGTCATCTTCTCTACTAGCTACCCTCTCCCAGGGGAGTCTCACTGTCTCCTTATATTCATATTCCTATTTTTTTTTTTTGAGTTGGAGTCTCACTCTGTCACCCAGGCTGGAGTGCAGTGGCATGCATGCGCACAGCCACCCCAGTCGACCTGCTGGGCTTAGGCGATCCTTCCACCTTAGCTTTCTAAGTAGCCGGAACTACAAGTACTTGCTACCACGCCTGGCTAATTTTTTTGATTTTTATTGTAGAGATGAGGGCCCACCAAGTTGCCCAGGCTGTTCTCGAACCCTTGTGCTCAGGCAGTCCCCTTGCCTTGGCCTCCCAAAGTGCTGGGATTACAGGCTTGAGCCCCCACGCCCAGCCCATATTCCTATTTTTTTAAGGATATACAAGATAAGGACAAAGTGAGTTCTGCCAGCTGTCAGCTTTAAAGCTGTGAGTTGTAGTGTGAAGTTTGGGCAGTCTTTGCCAGAAGGTGCTTTGTGGTTTGTAGTAGACAAATCAAGTACCTCTAAGAATTTTTGAATAATGATTAACATCTGAGAATTACTACATAATATCTTAGAATTTGTTGATTTCAGGTACCAAAAACCTGGAAATTTTGAACATGCCAAATGGTGATTTTGAAAGAGTTAACCCTTCCCTGACTTTAGGACTTAATATTTGTGATTCCTTTGTCTTGGGGAAATTGATGAAAGAAACCACTACCATTTATCTTGGATTAAAATGGCATAATTAATTTATATTATTAAATAAATACGGGTATAATTTAGTGGTAAGTATGTTTTCCAGGCTTTAAGTAGCTTGGGCTTTGGTAACCTAAGAAATGCCTTTACTATAGTGGTAGCATCACCTTTATTAAAAGATAGCAGAGGTGCTGGTTCTCAAAGTGGAATAACTTGAAAAAAATTTCAGAAATCATCTAAAATTTGAAATGTATATATATATATATTTTTGGTTTTCATAGTAAAGCATTTTTGCTTATTTTGTCTTTGTGTTGTCTAATATAAGAAAACCTGGTGATTTTTATGCTAAGTGATTTCTTCTAAACATATATCCCTAAACCTCTCTCTTACTTTCATTATTTTGGCATATGATGGAAAGATTTTACTATAAGAAATTGAAGTATCTTATTGTGTGAAAAGTGAAATATTTGAAGCTCCTGTAGCAGTGTATATGATGGTGCTATTCATTTTAATTTCATAATCATGTGACCTAGGCTCGATGAATACCTTATTTAAAGAGTTAAAAGAATAAGCTTCTTGAGTCTTTGTGT